TTCCAAACAATAAATGACAGAACAATGGTAATTTGAATCAAGCTAGACCTCTGAATGTCACAATTTTCCCAATGTAGGCACCAATAACAGAAGTATCTGAAAAAGAAATAGAACAGTTCTGTGTGGACATATAGGAGGCACTACAAACAAGCACTGAAAAGAGATGTAATATACATCATGGGAGATTTTAGTGACAAAATTGAAAACAAAACAAAACAAAAGCAAAAAATGGTTGACAGATTGTTTTAGGAGAAAGAAAGCAGATGAACTCTTGGTGCAGTTTTGTCAAGAAAATTGGCTGAGAATCACCAATACATGGCTTATTCAACCCAAACACATGGGCTTGTACACATGGACATCTCCAAATGGATTGTACTCTGTCCAAATTGATTACATTCTATGTAGCCAACAATGGAAAAATACAGTTATCACTGTTAAAACTACCTGGTGTAGACTATGGCTCGGATTATTAACTACTTGTATCCAAAGCCCGTTTTAAATTCAAAGTCTGCAACACTGAAAAGGACACAGTACCTGTTGTGATGTATGAATACAGCCTTGAAGAAAGTATGCAACAGCCATTACAAAAGCATTGGCTTAGCCCAGAAAGACAGAAGGTGAAGAAAAAAATCAAAGATGGGCCTGCCATAATTTTCTTTGGTATAGGGGGAGGGAAACAGAAACTCTCGGGCTTACAATAGCCTATATTAATAAAGTATAGAGTTCGTGGAAAAACAACCAGATGAGTAAGGGAAGAAACATTTTCAATAAAACAGCCAAGAAACACATCCCATCCAAAAATCCAATGAAGACAAACAAATGGCTGTCAGAGGAAACCATCCAAATTGCTGAATAGAGAAGAAAAGCTAAAGCTATTGATAATAGAGATGAAGCAAGGTGGCTAAAGGCAAAATTTTAACCTAAAGCTAGAATAGATAAAGAAAATTGAGCATCATGAAGACATAGAAAAAAGAAATCAAAAAAGGCACATTGAAGATCTTTTTGTCCTCAGAACAAAACAAAACCCAACCCCCATGGACATTATTCATTGCACAAAAAGGAGCAATAAGAGGCAGAGATGAGAAACAACTGAATGATAAGCTAAACAAAAATACAGTAGATGAAAGGAATACCTTGAGGAATACAATTAGTAATGTTCTTCAGCTATATATCAAACAGAAATCTGAAACAGAATCAGATATAATGGAAGATGAGGCAGCACGGTAAATTAAAACAGCTGTCAAAAAAAAAAAAAGCCCCTGGAAATCATGGCATACCATCATAACTAAATAAATCAGTTCTAATTGCAACACTTACAAAACTATGTCAAAAATATGGGATATCAATGAATTACCAAAAGATTGGAAAGAGACAGTGTTCATCCCAATCTCAAAGAAGAATGACAGACAAGTACTCCAACTACAACACAATAGCCCTGATAGCAAAATTTTGTTGAAAATCTACAGCAAAGTTTGGGCCCAACCATGGAAGAACTGCATGTTTTAGAAGAGGGAGAAACACTCAAGACCACATTCATAAGTGTGTGAATTTCAAAAGGATGTATGTTTATGCTTCATCAACATGTGCTGAAAAAATGGATTTATGACTGATCCCTGAAGTTACGGCCGTTGCAGCGTGTCTGCGGTCATGTGATCATGATCTGAGTGCTTGGCAACCTGTTTGCACTTACGACCAGTTACCAAGCACCCTGCGATCACATGATCACCATTTGCAGCCTTCCCTGCCAGCTTCCCACAAGCAAAGTCAATGGGAAGCTGGTGGGGAGGTCACAAGTCACTCAGGTAAGTCTCCCCTATCCAGCCTGGCCTGTCTTTGCTCACATGCTGTCTTTGCTCACCGCACACATCATGCCCTCCTTCCCTCTTTCTCTCACTCACATGCACCAGTGCCCTCCTTCCAACTTTGCTTGCTCTCACTCACCATGCCCCCTTCATACTCTACTGTGGCTCTGGGGCTTTGCAGGAGGAAGGCTTTGCAGGAAGGAGAAAGCCTCACAAATGGCCAGCAGCTTCCAACGTGAGCTGCAGAGAGTGCACTGGAAACACCCCTGGAGAGTCCTTGAGTGAGCGAAGTAGGGAAGGAGGGCATGGTGATATTAATATAGATTCGTTTTTTCTCAATTCTGTCTCAAATTAGTGACCTGAAGAAATCAGGAAAAAGATATATATGACAAACTGTTTAGCTAGACTTGGAATAACTTCAGTATCACTTGTTCTTTTAATACGGTTGCTTTAATACTTTCTCTTTTATTGAGTGTGAACAGATCTTAGTTTGCATTATAGCCCATAAATATACAACTGAACAGTATTTCAGATAATCCAGAATAATGCTATTTTTGCCTAAGGTATAGATTTCTGTGAGTATACCTTTAAACAGGGGCGTATACCAACATGGTATAAAAGTTAAGGTGTTAGAACAGGACTGGAAGACCTGTGCCTAAATCCATTCTCAGTCATGGAAGTTCGATTTTGGCCAATCTCTCTTTTTCAGCCCAATCTATTTCACAGGGTTCTTTTGTGGGAAATCCGCATATAAACTATGTTGCAATGTATAGAAGGAAGGAAGGAAATAAAAATGATACATTACTTAGCAGTAAATGGGAACAAACTACCCTATGTGAAATACATCTAATTTTTTCCAATATCAATCCTCAGATGTTTTAACACAACTAGTAACACAAGGTTGG